ACTACCTTGAAGTGTAAACTTGTTTAATAAACCATATCTTTCATTTTCGATTTTTAATTCACGTAGTCCGGGAACTTTCCGGACAAACTGTGTAGAAATTGTGTGTTTTTATTTGAAGGTTGCAGTAAAACTCACACACAACTTTTCGAGAATACATTTTCTGCACAAATAGTTCTCGTTGAACAAATAAGTTACGTAACAAAAAGTTTTTTTTAATAATTTCGTGTCTCGTGCACACACCTTATGTAAGAAACAATTTACTTCGATCGTGTTGTTCTGCAAATGTTATTTGAACAAAGAGTGCGAATGTTATTACGGAATAATTTTGAAATAATGATCATGGCGTGCGTGCGGAGGTTTTTTTTTTTTTTAGTTTTGCGTCGTACTTCATCGTATGTCGTTGCGAAGGTTTCACTGTCGACTTCGTGCCACTTAGGGAGGGCTTTTACCTTCGCCGAGTGCTCGAGGCGTATTTGAAATGAGGACGACCGTGCCGTAGGCATATTATGTGTATTCATATGTGGCACGAAGCGGTACTACGCTCTATATGGCAATATGTGACACAAAACAATAGATGGAACGTCGCGATAATGATAAGTTACGATATCACGTCTCGATGCTCGCAAAAAGCGACGACTCTCGTTACCTTTCAACGTAGCTTTTCGAGGGATTTTCACTTTGCGAAAATCAATAGAGCGTTATCGAGAATTTAACCACGTAAAATAATAGTTTTTTTTTTTTTTTTACAATAAAAGAAAACATTTTTTTGAACAAAATTTGTTTAAAAATCTTTTGCAAAAATATACGTGAAACAAATTCTAGAATATATTTGAAAATAGCGCGTGATTTATTGTTTCTCTTGCACGTATGAAGAATAAATTTAGATTCTCCCATGCGTTTGGAATATTCCGCGAAAACGTGCCAGTGGTTTTTAACAAAGTAAGCGCGCCAAAGTTGCTTTTAATAATTTATCATAGTTTTGAGACAAAACAAAGTAATAAAATATGCGTCGCAGCGGATGCATCTCCTTCGTACGTTTTCGCTCATGCGAATTAGTCATACGGCGCAAATGCGATCTCGTTAAAGTCCCCCGCGTAGTTCGGCTAATCAGGCATATCCTGTAATAGAGCAACACGAGCCGTTGGTAGCATTTGACTGAAGAGAGCGTGTTCAGAAAAAAAAATGTTTATACATTATGCGACTTTAATTTAAGCTGTGCGATTGTTCTATTTTAATTTTTCTCTTATTTTACGATCATCGATATAGTGAAAGAGTTTCGATTTGTGTGTCGACAGTTTTGAGCGGCGGACCATTGATGGACGATGTTTACAAGCTAGAACAGTATCACTGTCACTGGGGATGCAGCGACTCCAGAGGGTCCGAACACACGGTAGACGGACAGGCCTTTGCCGGAGAGGTAAGAGCGTGTAAAATTATTCATCTCACGTGTTAAATGCGTTAATTAAATTTATGCGCAGATAAGTCGTACGTGAACACGAATAAAGCGCTAAATTTGTCGCTCATTAAACGGGTTTTATCCCGATGAAGAGAAGACAAACAATTAAGTTCGTTATTCCACTTCGCCGATTTAATTATGCCGAACTTATGACTAGTTAGTGATGCAGTCACGTTTCGAGAGTATGATTCACAATGTTTGCGATCATTCGTACGTAGTTTATGGCAGCGTTGACCTTGTTCGAGAGTGCCGCCATGAACGATTTACAGCGCGCGCGATCAGATTTGCTTAAAGAGATAAATAATTCTTTTTCCTTGGTTAGTTCAACTATCAGTTTCAGCTTGTACGCGTAGATGTTTTATGGACATAATTATCTTACAGATAAGCCGTTCCACCATAGGTTTGGATGAAATAAAAATACAGTCCCGAGATAGTAATTTCGCGCTGGGAGAAATATAATTACGCGGCTATTATTTATCATGCAAACAGAATGCTATTATTGTGCGCGCACTATTGGCGTTGAAGGAACGCCAACGACGTGTCAAAGGTCCTTTATTCTCTGACAGCTGCGCGCGTCTAGAGCCGCGTATCGAGTTACGAATGAGACAAGAACAACAAAACGACCGCGGAGTGGCATCGAACAATATAATTGGCATCGAAACCCGCCCACTTGTGTGCGCGAATAATGGATGAATGGCGCGATTACGAAACGCGTATCCCACCGCGTACGTTGAGCACCGAAAGAATTTCCGAGTTGCGAGCAAATGCGCTTATCTGTTAACTGCGAAAAGAAGGATGTCAATAATTAACCGAGCAAATTACGTGTTTCCTGAACACGGCGAGACAGGTCTGAGATAAATGAAAGACCCGTGTGTACGTGAGAATTTCCTTGGAAGCTCGCCACGCGTCTCGCGCTTGCACGAATATTTCGCGCGAAACATACTTGTTGACTCGCGATAAATCGATTATGCAATCATTCGATTTGAATCTTACATAAATAATTGACTTCAACTTGACCCTCTTTCCGATCAAGAAAACATCGATAATACACGATGCGTGGAAAATGTCTTTAGAATCGAATTCTAAGACGACTGAAAAAAACTCGTTTTCTACGAATAACATAAAAAACTCGATAAAAACGTGTATATTTTTATCGAGTTTGATGTAAGTATATGCGCAGAGAGGAATTCTTTCGTAAAACGTCGACGCTTTAATTAAACAATCCGAGTCTATTAAAACACATTAGCGAATCGATTGGCGGTCGGTAATGAGTTCGTTTTCTCTTCGCGCGATCTCTGTGTGCTTTTCGATGCGTTCGAACAAGCAAATCGTAGTTGAATGCTCGATTCGCTCTTTTCGCCTCTCGGACGACTCTCACATATTTTGCCGCGTCGCGAAATTGTGCGGAACGAAATAAAAGATACCTGTAACGATTTCTGCGGGAAACCGGGTCGATCGGATGCACGGATATCCGCGGAATTTCAGAGTTTACAGTTACTGCGCTGATTACATAATCCACATCTAACGATCGCCCGTCAGACGCAATTATCATTTTATTGATGCCGATAAACCACTCTTTGTCGTACGTTCCATCGTTCAATGGCGTGGATTGCATCGTGGAAGTATTTTAGATAGTTATCGACGACCCCGGGCGATTAAAGCCAGACGAAAAAGAATTGTCAGATGACCGGAGCGATATTTGATTTAATAATTCATTAACTCTGTCTCTCTCTCTCTCTCTCTCTCTCTCTCTCTCTCTCTCTCTCTCTGTCTTTTTAACATACGAATATAGAAACTAATTATAACGTTTCTTAATTATAACAGTGGAAAGACAAGAGTTCAAGTACACATGTCTCGGATGTTGACAACCTGTTATTTCATTTCTTAATTGTCTGCTAATTAGACCTAATGCATGTGAGTTAGATTCATTAGAAGTTTCTATTTGTTTCAGCTGCATTTAGTGCACTGGAACACCACCAAGTACAAGACTTTCGCCGAAGCGGCGAAAGCCTCCGATGGTCTGGCCGTTTTGGGAGTTTTCCTCAAGGTTGGTATATCGCAATAACACGTTTCGATATCGCTCTAATTACAATTCTTTATACAACCTTTTTATACTTTTATAATTCTTTATTCCAACGTGATTTATGCTTTATTATTATTATTGGCGATGTGTTACGCAACTAAAATATTTATTACACGGTTTGTCGGATTTTTTGTAACACACAGAGCTGCCAATCCCTTCGGGGTATGTAAGCAGAAGCCGCACTTATTTTTCTCGGGATTCTAATTCGTTCACATCGGGTTACGTAGTTGCCTAAGCTTTTCTTATGTAAGACGTAAGCTGCGCAAAACAGAATCCGTAACGATGTAGGTGTCGATCGCATCCGATTATGTAAACACAAAATCAGGCGTAATTGTATTCGTCGCGGCTTCGAAATACGAAAAACGAGATACATTTTCGTGAACCGGCTGTCGCGTGGATTCGCGTTTGCGGCAAAGAATATCCCGACCTCATGCAACATCAATTACCCGCTTCCGCTTTGCGCAATGTTTTGTGTGTCTAACATTTAGGTTGCGGCGACTTGATATCCCGTGTAGAAAATTATAAAATTTGCGACGTCTGTACGTGAGAACGATCGTGAAACTCTGCGCGCGCAAATATAACATTTTGCAAAATCAGATTTTTTGTACATTGTACAGAACGAAAAAGATTGTTTAAGCGCGTTAATGTCATTTTTTGCAAATTATCGTGATTGTTACGTAACATCGGACTTTGAGAATACGTTTCTCAAGACGCTTATAAACGCGCGTATGGGAGGTAATTTATGCGACGGTGACAACGTGCTAGACAATGCGAAAAATATTGCGCAATTGCGCGATCAACGTCGATGCCGAGCATTTTTACCGCTTCTATTTTTCTTTTGTTCGAAACACTATTTTAAATAGCTGCTTTGTGACTATTTTTTTCGCTATAATTTTTGAAACATTTATAAAACAATTTTATTAATCAAATGTTTTTTTTTTATCGAATGTGTGAAAACGAAGATGCGGAACGAACTTTCACAATGTTTAACGATGATGAGATACGTTATAGATAGTTGCTTCATTGATTGAAAGATCACTCATGGAAATCGGTTATTTCCGCTTGCCACGAATGACTTTATTTCGCCTCAAACTGCACTGTAACCTTATCAGGAAATCTCCATAATTTTCTTGTAGGTCGGCAAGACACACGAAGAAATGGACAAGATCGCACGCCTTCTGCCGTACGTCTCGCACAAGGACGAAGTCGTCGAAATTACGGAACCAATCGACCCTAGCAAACTCCTTCCTGGTGAGTTAATATCGAATAATCGACCGAGCAATTTGGTAATTGTTTCTTTGATCAAGTATTCCTTTTTATTCGTCATGCATAGTGTGTCCGTGATCTCTATGTCCTTTTCTCTTGGAATATTCGATTGTATTTGTACTTCCATTCTGTTTACCAAAGTTGTGGATAGGTTTTGACGTACGTGAACGTGTAATAGATCCTCAATCTCTGTAAATTAATTTTTATGATCGAGATGATCGAACGAAAAGTCTCAATACTAAGAGAGAAGTTAACTCTCGATTTTGTTTTTTTTTTGTCTCATACGTTTTGCAACTTTTATTTCCTACTTACTACTCGCAAACGCTAATAACGCACAGACGTTATCTTTGAACTTCAAAGTTTGAAGTTGTTAAACGGAAACTGTTCCATTAAGAATAATCGTGTTTCTTTTGCATTAACTAATGAAATTTCTTCTGCATACGTGCTCTCGTTGCACCACGCACAGTGCGCGGTGGACGAGCCGGCACGCAGAGATGCGTGAATCCGTGCATGCGCTGGGCCGACCGAATCATACCACGACACGAGAATAAATGGGACTTCCAAGGTTCGTATATAGCCTTGGACCAGTTCACACGATGGAACGAGGAACGCTGCGATTCTCACGTTTTGGCCTCAAAAAATTTTCGTTACTTTTATCTTTGGTTATTTTTAAGCAGCCGAAAAAACTTTGTGCATGTCACGAGCACGGTTCAAACAACTAGCACGCGGATGCATGTTTGAATTTATGTTGTTTAATTATGTTGTTTTAATTGTTTTCTGAAGTAATGAAGAAAATATTTTTTTTTTAAAAAAAAAAAAGAATAATCTTGCATTACACAATTTCTCATCGATTTATTTGTAGAAAAACAAAACGTATAAGGTTTGTACGTATTTTATGTAGTACGACTATGTATTTTTACATGTGTTTTTTACTCGTACGAATAGCACAAATATTTTATGTTAATATCCTCACAATTTGATCGGTTGTACATTTTGTTGTAAAACGATACGATATCGTGCATTTTTGATGGATATACATTGTGAATGTTATTATCATTTATATTCGAACATCTGATGTTCTCGTCGATGCTACTTTATCGATGTATCATTTCGGAGAAATGTGTCTCGTGTGTATTCCGATGACATCGAAAGATAAGAAGAGTGGAACGCACTTACATATACAAAACATACTCTTCCGAATGAAACAGCACATTAATCAAACGGTTTAATCTCATTTCCCGACACACAATTTTCATCCCGTTATTAGACTTGTGTATTCGCACGATGTGTACGGTGATAAAACTGATGGAAATATTGACGTTACGTAAAATACATCACGAGAAATTGTTTCAAAATTTCTTTGCGCGCTTGCAAATTGAATCGATCGTATACACAATGACGAGGAACCATTTCGAAATTACCTTACGCAGCTATATCGCGTTAAAGATAAGGCGTAAATCCTGTCATTTTGTACGTATGTAATTTGTCACGCTCAATTTTTAACAGCACGTTGCTAATCTTTTATCGCGAATGACGTTGATACACACGTATCGCATATTTATTTATTGTCTCGTTTTGACAGCTAGAAAATTATTTATCGTATATATAATTTTCACGCATTTGTGTTTCACGTGAAATCTTATAAAGACATATAATTTTGGCTTTGTTTTTATTTAGACGATAACGGGTACTGGACGTACTTGGGTTCGTTGACGACTCCGCCGTGCAATGAGAGCGTCACTTGGATACTTTTCAAAAAATACATCGAGGTGTCTCATCATCAATTGAACATTTTCCGCAATCTGCGAAAGTTTCCACGTGGTGAAGAGTGCCCTTGCCATGAGAATCACGGAGCGGTAAGTAAAATAAAAATAATATTCGTAAAACTAGGTGATAGACCAAGATGTAAAAAAAAAAAGTTTATATCATCACGTCGCTTTTTTTTATCTACAATCAACTCGTTGTGCGAGTCACATAATCGTTTCTTTGTCTCTTTTGTAATCATTTTTTTTATATAAAATTTTCCAAGGATTCTTCCGTATCACTTTCCTCGTGCCCTCCTCCTGCACTTCCGTTGTCGTTTGATAAATGACTCGCAATCAGTGATCAACATGACGGCGAACACCTCTGAAACGACATGATTACCATTTTCCAGCCACGAGAGATGCATATCGTTTGCGGTGAATAGACGTCTTTTTTTTTTTTTTTTTTTATTTTCCTCGATGTATTCACAAACTACCCGTGTAGCTGATAGCTATTTTTAGGCGTGTAGAACGCGTCGATGACCGCGGCACGTCGTCTCGACGATGTATTAGAATTCGACGGAGCGCATCACGACACGCCCTCGTTTTTAACTCCGCTCTTTTTTTCTCTGTCCCGTTGCAGGTAATCAACAACTTCCGCCCACCGATGCCACTAGGAAATCGCGTCTTGCGGGAGTGCGGTAGCTTCTAAGAGCCGTCTATCCACCTGGAAAATGAGAAGGAATGTAGAAGAAACAAGAGAGAGAGAGAGAGAGTGGGAGAGAAACATAGACGATTCAATCTCCGTTCCTCGTATTTACGAATCGTTGACCTCAAAGCGACAGCTACACGATGCAGTTGCGAACGCACGACAGCCGTTCAATGTGCCTTTTGACTGTAATACCGAACACTCGCGCGTTGTACGCCACGAAGCTCGCTGGTTAGTTGTTTTTCTCGCAATCAAAGATTCTGTCACGTGTAATCCGTTCTATTGTCGTTGGAGGAAACGCGTATATTCGCAGCGAGCAAAAAGTTTTCTACTACTCTGCGTAGGAAACGCGAAATGTTAGAAATATTTGATGATGGCTTTAGCTTCCGAGCAACGAATTTGCTGTTGTTTCTATTTTATTGTTTTTATCTTCGATTGTACGATAAGCTACTGATATTAGAATGTACCCCAGCCTCAATTTTAACGAACGTATCTCGAAATGACACATGACTTTGTCTGAGAATAACACTGTAAAAATTACTTTTAAAAATATGAAGTGTCGGATATCTATAGTCGGTGTCTTTATCTATAGTTGAATTAATCGCGATATTAATTTTAAATTTCGAGATACTTGAATAGATACTGACTATAAATAAATTTAAAATAAATTTACTTCTTATTTTATATACGACGCAACGACAGGTAATTATTGAACTGTTCCTCTGGCACTTTGAGAGATGCTTCGCCGCGTCGTTGATTGACAGTCTCGTGTAAGAATATTCGTCGAATATATAGTGTCGTGTTCTTGAAACAGACGAAATAGTGAACGTTTAATTTTAGTTTTTCACTTATACGCGAATAATTGTTCATCAAGTGATCTATTGGAACACGAAGAGTTTCTTTTAAAATCCTCATTAAATGAGTTTCATCGAGTGAATCTATAAATATATCCTTCTGTATCTTTTTTTCTACAAAACAAGTGCGTTAAAGGACACTCTGTGTAGCATCTACCAAGCGTGCGCTTCGTTTCAATTCAAGTGCAATTACGAATGAAACGTAGATATAACTTTAACAGCGTCCGCTTTGCGCGCCTAGGGAATGTCGCTTTCTCGTTAATTAGAAACTGCTACTTACAATAACAACGCCGATTACACAAACGAAGTATGTGCCTGTGCGCGTAGACGCGCGCTATTTTGCTATCTGAAATAAAACGAAACATAAATATATATGATGCGTCTCACTTGTGCCTGCCGTATAAGAAAAAGATACTGCAATATCAACAAAATGTGTTTAATGTGCAATTTGATGTGCAGTTTGTTTTTTATGACTCAAGCCTATAAAAGTTACAATAACATGATTTATTTCGAGTGACGAGAGTATTTGATCGATACCATTCAGTCGCGTGTAGTTGGATCAAGATTTTTTTATTCACTTTGATTTTTTTTTCATTATATACAGAGATAGATTGACGAAGTGATGACAAAATGTAATTTTTTAAAATGAAATAAAAGACTTTTCTTGCACATATAAAGAAATTTTGTAATTTGAGCTGTGCAGTACACAGAAGGATTTCTATCGGATCGATCCGTCCTCGAGACATCGACATCACCCATGTTCATCGACATAAACTCTGTTCGTTTCCGTAACATGCAATATCGCGTTAAGTGCTACAGGTGCAATGATCTTTATCTACTATGTATCTATCTAAGAGAAATAGGATGTTTATAATATCGTATTTATAAGTCGTGTGTACGCCACTGTTGACGCTCGAGAAATGTATCGAAATTCGATATGCACCACACTGCGTAAAATTTATAAATACGCGCGAAATTCGCGTCCATTAATAAGTAAGGCGTTTGTTGCCGTTGCCATTGTGACATTTATCGCGGATGTGCGACTATATTAAAAGATCTATTACTGACATCGAACTATATTTTGAGAGAATACACGTATTTTTTATACTATCAAGTTTTTGAAAAAGTTGATCCACAGTGTCAACTTGCGCATGAAAACAAAAATGTATTTTTTGATAAACTTTCAATTTGTTTTTTACGCCAAAGGAAAATAATTCAAGTTGGCTACGCAACTTTCCCTCGAGCGTCAACAGTTTTTTTAATATAAAATCGATATCTCACTTTGTGCCATACGATGGCGAATTTTACGTAAATTAATAATGTGTTATTTTGCGATGTGTATCTTGGATATGTATATTACCTTAGACGCTAATCACTTTTGACACGTTATCATTGAATATATTTAGAACTACTCTGCTGTTCGCTAAAGTGTAAAATAACTTTACGTTGTTACGATATATTTTTGTCATTGTTTGATTCTTGCGTTAACATACGTATGTATAAGTATATCTTAATACACTAATACATACACTAATGTAGCGAATCTAATTATTATGAAAATGTGAAATAATGTGATGTGTATTTGTATATCGTAGTTTGGACTGTGATAGATAGAAAAAAAGAAAAAATAAAGAACCGCTCCACTTGTTCTTACACGCGGAGAATATGTGTGCACTTTGTTTTGTCTGTCATTTATTGCGAATAAATTTGTTGCCCTCCTCGTGAGACGTGTAGAATGAGAATTTGCTCTGAAGATCGAGCGCTTTTATTATTATGAGACAGAGTGTCGAATGAAAGGGTACAAGGCGAGCAACCGTTAATGCTCGGATTTGACTTTGATGTTCGCCGTCGGTCCGAACCAGTTTCAAGAACGCAAAGAGGAAAACTTGCGGACGAGACAAGATACATGGAACGACCAAGAAATTTTTCCTGTAATTCTTTGAAACTTCTCGTAATGAGGTTTTGACTTGCAAAATTACATCTCGCGCAATAACGTTGAAGTTATCCAATCACGTGCAAAATTTTTGGATGAGAAAAGTTTCAAAAAAAATTTCATCATATCGTTGTAGCGTAAATTGCCGAAAAACTTGGTGTGTTTTACACTTAGTACGTGTTTGCCGAATATAACAAATATAAGATTTGTTATGTATAAATATAACACACACACACACACACAACACACACACACACACACACACACACACAAATGCCACTTTTTCAAAAAAAAGAGAAAATATTGTATTATGTTTTGAAAACTGCTTTTCTTCTAAAAAAATCATATATTAAAAAAAGCATTTGGACCGAGAAGTGCACGTTTGGAGTCGAATATATCGCACCTATTGTTGCCTCTTTTCCGCGTTGCCGATTGGTTAGTTGGTTGATCGAGCCGAATCGAATCGGGGTCACTGACCTCGGCCGCGCGATCGCGGCGGTGTTACTGACTTCGGTCACGTGATTACGGTATATATATGTATAAATACATATATGCGTATCTGTTTGTATTATATATAGATATAGAATATTACATATATACTATATATGTATAATATTCTCTGTTTTACCCTTTTAGCTCACGTGCCTTTAGTCACGTGTTGTTTTTCCATTTCTCTCTCTCACTATTTTGTGAGTTTGATTTTCATTCGTTATTTATGTATCGCATCTATTGTTGTCTCTTTTTCGCGTAGCCGATTAGCTGGTTGATCGAATCGAGTCGAGTCGAATCAAATCGGTAAGATCAAAAAACAAATAAACAGACTATTATCTTGATAAGATGATTTTATCTTGCAAAAAATTAATTATATCCTCATAAGATAATTTTATATTGCAAAAAGATAATTAAATCCTCATAAGATAATTTTATCTTGCAAAAAGATAATTAAATACTCATAAGGTGCTTTTATCTTGCAAAAAATCAATTATTCCCTCATAAGATGATTTTATCTTGCGAAAAAACAATTACTCTCTCATAAGATAATTTTATCTTGCGAAAAACCAATTATTCCCTCATAAGATAACATTCCACAGCGAAAATGANATTATTACCTCATAAGATGATTTTGTATTGCAAAATTGCGAATATTTCCTCATAAAAAAATTTCGCATTGCNAAATTGCGAATTCTCCCTCATATGAGGAATTCGCAGATTTGAGGGAATTGCGAATTCTCCCTCATTTGAGAAATTCGCAAATTTGAGGGAATTGCGAATTCTCCCTCATATGAGGAATTCGCAAATTTGAGGGAATTGCGAATTCTCCCTCATATGAAGAATTCGCAAATTTGAGGGAATTGCAAATTCTCCCTCATATGAGAAATTCGCAAATTTGAGGGAATTGCGAATTTTCCCTCATATGAAAAATTCGCAAATTTGAGAGAATTGCGTATTCTCCCTGATATGAGGAATTCGCAAATTTGAGGAAATTGCAAATTCTCCCTCATATGAGGAATTCGCAAATTTGAAGGGATCGCGAATTCTCCCTCATATGAGGGGATCGCGAATTTGAGGAAATCGCGAATTCTCCCTCATATGAAAGGATCGCGAATTTGAGGGGATCGCGAATTCTCCCTCATATGAAAAGATCGCGAATTTGAGGGGATCGCGAATTCTCCATCATATGAGGGGATCGCGAATTTGAGAGGATCGAGAATTTTCCCTCATATGAAGGGATCGCGAATTTAAGGAGATCGCGAATTCTCCATCATATGAGGGGATCGCGAATTCTCCCTCATATGAGAAGATCGCGAATTTGAGGGGATCGCGAATTCTTCCTCATATGAGGGGATCGCGAATTTGAGTTGATCGCGAATTCTCCCTCATATGAGGAAATCGCGAATTTGAGGGGATCGCGAATTCTCCCTCATATGAGGGGATCGTGAATTTGAGGGGATCGCGAATTCTCCCTCATATGAAGGGATCGCGAATTTGAGAAGATCGCGAATTCTCCCTCATATGAGAAGATCGCAAACTTGAGGGGATCAGGAATTCTCCCTCATATGAGGGGATCGCGAATTTTCAATCATATGAGGAGATCGCGAATTTTTAGGGGATCGCGAATTTTTAATCATATTAAAAGATCGCGAATTTTTAGGGGATCGCGAATTTTCAATCATATTAAGAAATCGCGAATTTTTTGCGGATCGCGAATTTTCAATCATATTAAAAGATCGCGAATTTTTAGGGGATCGCGAATTTTCAATCATATTAAAAGATCGCGAATATTTGGCGGATCGCGAATTTTCAATCATATTAAAAGAT